ATGTTCCCTGGCAAAGTTTAGAAACAATTATCAGAAAAATATTCTGGGGTCCATGTTTCCTTATAAATATACTTCGTGTTCTGACCTACAGTCTCCTTCCAGAAAGGATCTGACTGCTACCTGAGGATCAAGACAAATTTCTTGTTTTAAAAGAGAGCATTGTGGTCTACAGCTCCCTGGGAAACGAAGCAATTTTATTTTGCCTATGTCCAAATAATCTCCCAAAATACCACATTGTGAGTGTGTGTTCATGGAGGTCATGGTTCAATGTGTTCATCATAATGGGGATGGATCTTGGGGTGATCCTATTTTACAGGAAGCTTGGAGTTGGGGGAAACAGCCTCCTCTGATGGAATTCATGAAGAAACTCTTTGAACCTCTGAGTGAACCAGTCAATATCCATATCTCTGTGACCTTGGAATTCCCAAAAAGGTGGATCTTGAATGGAAATCAACCATAGTTATGACCTTTGGTATCTTTATACCTATGCTATCTTTGGGCCAGGATAGTGTCTTTAGAAAATGTCTTTTAGATGCCAACCCAATTTCGTATGCACACATCTGGATGTTAATGTGTTTCTTAAATGCACATGAAGTCTCCTTTCTTATTTTTACAAAACTATACATGAAAATAATTCATGAGATCTTAAAATACTGACCCCCATGCCAACATGTTTTCAGTCAACTGATGCTGTGTGTTAACACTTAGATATCAGGAACTACCCAATTTGCCACAGACCCTACTGTTTCTATTATCCATGTCCCAAAGACAAGGGTCAGTTGGCATTTACTATCACTCTGGTGTTGTTGCTCCCTTATACCTGAGTCAAAAAGAAAATAAATAATTTCTTGTGCCCAAATATCATGAAAAGTGGAGTGACAAAATGTAGCAAAGTCCATATCTTCTTTATGAAATGAGTCTCCCTCAATATGCTTATGAAAACCAAGCATGTCTGTTTTATGAAAACCAGGCAAGTTGAATACAACTTGAAACATCAATATGAGTCAGACTCGTTCTGCTTCACTTTCTGTGTGAATAGCTCAAGCCCGTAAAATATTTAGCATGTAGCCCAAAATAAAGTACTGTTACTGTCAGCAATCTGTAGATGAACAAATGGAGGTTCATTGTTTTGGGGTAAGTCCACAGAGATAAAAGAATGTATTCTGGTACGAGACCCTGCCAATAGAAGGCCAACCTGAAGGTGAATATTTTCAGCAGAAATCCCCCAGACCAGGAACACACTCTCTACCAGCCTCTCAGAGTCCATGGATTCCTCTGCCCACACAGGGACTTCAGGTTCCTCGGAGAAAACGGACTCAAACTGACATGGCTTCCCTAGCCTCAGTCAATCATTCACCAAGCATTTCTTGAGAGAGACAGGTACGGAAGTTCAGGCAATGCATTCAGGTAGCCCCAGGGCTCAATTCTGGGCTCCTCATCCTTCCAGCTCTGTGACTTTGGACAAGCCCTGAATTTTCAATACACTCCAATTTTCCAGCTATAAAATGGTAGAGATACTAGTTACCATATCTTGGGAGTGGGTGTGATGGGAATTCAGGGAGAGCTTTAGGTAAAATAGGCAGCACAGGTCTTGGAAGCTATGAGTTTTGTTATTGTTTATAACTCTCCTACAGACATTACTGCTGGGATCCCCATCCCATCAAGAAGGGTCTCTGCAAAGGCTGAGTTGTGCTCCTATCCTGGTCACTGGGGGGAAAGAGAAGCACTTGGAGGAGGAAGGTATAATGCCCTGCATGTACCCCACTCTTACAGGATTACACCAGCCACTTTCCCTGCAGGAACTGGCTCCTTCCCAAGGGGTGTGGCTAGGAGGAAACAGTCTATAAAGACAGACATTGTGTGTGTTATAAAATCCCTTTCTGCCAAGGCTCCCTAAAAGAAGGACCTTCCGTGCCTGACACTGCAGTCGAGACAGCTGAGGGTCAACAAGCTCACTCTCACATCTGGGATTGCACTGGATCTGCATACCAAGAACAAGGTAAGAGCCTGTCTCTTTCGTGTTTCATTCTCCACCTTTTTTTCTCAGGTCCCTGAGGACCTCAGGATCCTGCTATGAATCTCATCAGGGACATGTGGAGGCAGAGTCTCAATTCTCTGATAAACGAGGGGGTATTCACATGGTGTACTTAGACCCCTGTCCATCCTTCTTTCAGGAGTCTACACACCTGTGACTGTCTCCTTCTCTCAGTCTTAAAGAGAAGCCACATTCCCAGGGTGGAAATGAGATCTCAACCATTTTCTGGGCCTGCCCCTTATACAACAAAAATCTGTATTTTATTTTAAATGGAGCACTGACAATATGAATCATCTTATCATGAAATACACCAAATGAAACCCTGAGTAGTTTATAACTCTTCTTATTTGTTGTCAATATTTTCCAAAGGACAGAGTAAAGTTGAAAGGCAAGAAGTGAGCAAAGTTGGTGGTATACAAAAGACCAAAGAGATCAGGTCTGGCTTCTTTCCCAGCCTTTTACTTGCTCACTATGGGATACTGAGCAACTTATTTGCCAAGATGAGCCTGAAATGTTACATCTGTTTCCTGGGGGTGATTTATTTTTACGTACCAGGGAGAACTATTGAGTGGATTAAACAAGGTGAGAATCAAATAGTTGTTGAGGGCATAGCACATAGTAAGCGTCAAATAGGAACACTATTTCTCTTCTCCTCTCAACATTTTTTAAATGCCAACCTGATAAAATCCATGCAGTTTAGTGTAGCATTTAAGGTCATCCTATTCATTCAGTTATTTATTTTTAAAAGCATTTGGTTGAGAGCTTTCTACATGCTCAGCACTGAGCCACAACATGGCTCCAGAAATCAATTAGATATCATCCTTCCCTTCAACTTCCTAGTCTAAATGTTGTGGTTGAAATTCACCCCATCCACCTTGGTTTATTTTGTACAATCAAATTGGATTACCTCCCCTCCTTCATGCCTTTCCTTAGGCTCTTACTGCACCCCAAATACCCCCCCCCCCCCCACAGAAACCTATGTATCTAAGAGTGGCTGATCTTTTTTTTTTTCAAATAGTTTATTGTCAAATTAGTTTCCACATAACACTCAGTGCTCATCCCCACAAGTGCCCTCCTCCATGCCCATCACCCATTTAGTCCACTCTACCACCAAACACCCCTCCAGCAAGTCTCAGTTCATTTTGTTTTTAAGAGTCTCTTATGATTTGCCTCCCTCTCTGTTTTTATTTTATTTTTCCTTCCTTTCCCTTATGTTCATCTGTTTTGTTTTTTAAATTTCACATATGAGTGAAATCATATGACTTTTATCTTTCTCTGACTTATTTCACTTAGCATAATACACTCCAGTTCAATCCATGTTGTTGCAAATGGCAAGATTTCATTCTTTTTGATCACCAAGTAATATTCCATTATATATATATATATATATATATATATATATATATGTGTGTGT